ACAGGATGCATTCTGCCTTTTCAAAAGTCATCACCCATTCCCAAAGCCACTTTCTCAGGTGGTCCTTAGCCCTGTGATGATGCCAGTTTGGCGTCGTGGTTAAGTGCACAGACTCTAATCTGGGAGAACCGGGTTTGATTCCCCACTCCTCCACTTGCACTTGCTGGATGACCTTGGGCAAGCCGTAGTTCTGATAAGAGCTGTCCTTGAAAAAGAGCAGTTTCTGTCAGAGCTCTCTCAGCCCCACCTCCCTCACAGGGCGTCTGTTGTGGGGAGGGGAAGGGAAAGGAGTTTGTCAGCCGCTCTGAGACTCCTTTGGGGAGTGAAGGGCGGGGTATAAATCCAATCTCTTCTTCTTCTTCTTTTACCTCACAGGGCGTCTGTGGTGGGGAGGGGAAGGGAAAGGAGTTTGTCAGCCGCTCTGAGACTCCTTTGGGGAGTGAAGGGCGGGGTATAAATCCAATCTCTTCTTCTTCTTCTTTTACCTCACAGGGCGTCTGTGGTGGGGAGGGGAAGGGAAAGGAGTTTGTCAGCCGCTCTGAGACTCCTTTGGGGAGTGAAGGGCGGGGTATAAATCCAATCTCTTCTTCTTCTTCTTTTACCTCACAGGGCGTCTGTGGTGGGGAGGGGAAGGGAAAGGAGTTTGTCAGCCGCTCTGAGACTCCTTTGGGGAGTGAAGGGCGGGGTATAAATCCAATCTCTTCTTCTTCTTCTTTTACCTCACAGGGCGTCTGTGGTGGGGAGGGGAAGGGAAAGGAGTTTGTCAGCCGCTCTGAGACTCCTTTGGGGAGTGAAGGGCGGGGTATAAATCCAATCTCTTCTTCTTCTTCTTTTACCTCACAGGGCGTCTGTGGTGGGGAGGGGAAGGGAAAGGAGTTTGTCAGCCGCTCTGAGACTCCTTTGGGGAGTGAAGGGCGGGGTATAAATCCAATCTCTTCTTCTTCTTCTTTTACCTCACAGGGCGTCTGTGGTGGGGAGGGGAAGGGAAAGGAGTTTGTCAGCCGCTCTGAGACTCCTTTGGGGAGTGAAGGGCGGGGTATAAATCCAATCTCTTCTTCTTCTTCTTTTACCTCACAGGGCGTCTGTGGTGGGGAGGGGAAGGGAAAGGAGTTTGTCAGCCGCTCTGAGACTCCTTTGGGGAGTGAAGGGCGGGGTATAAATCCAATCTCTTCTTCTTCTTCTTTTACCTCACAGGGCGTCTGTGGTGGGGAGGGGAAGGGAAAGGAGTTTGTCAGCCGCTCTGAGACTCCTTTGGGGAGTGAAGGGCGGGGTATAAATCCAATCTCTTCTTCTTCTTCTTTTACCTCACAGGGCGTCTGTGGTGGGGAGGGGAAGGGAAAGGAGTTTGTCAGCCGCTCTGAGACTCCTTTGGGGAGTGAAGGGCGGGGTATAAATCCAATCTCTTCTTCTTCTTCTTTTACCTCACAGGGCGTCTGTGGTGGGGAGGGGAAGGGAAAGGAGTTTGTCAGCCGCTCTGAGACTCCTTTGGGGAGTGAAGGGCGGGGTATAAATCCAATCTCTTCTTCTTCTTCTTTTACCTCACAGGGCGTCTGTGGTGGGGAGGGGAAGGGAAAGGAGTTTGTCAGCCGCTCTGAGACTCCTTTGGGGAGTGAAGGGCGGGGTATAAATCCAATCTCTTCTTCTTCTTCTTTTACCTCACAGGGCGTCTGTGGTGGGGAGGGGAAGGGAAAGGAGTTTGTCAGCCGCTCTGAGACACCTTTGGGTAGTGAAGGGCGGGGTATCAATCCAATCTCTTCTTCTTCTTCTTCTTCTACTGAAGACATGCTTTGGACCTGACCCCTGGATGGGATGAGGGGCCTGCCTCTGTCTTCTCACTTCTCCCTCTGCTGGGCAGGTCCTCCCTTGCACATCACAGCCACCAGTTGCCAAACGGAGATGTGTGTCCTGGTGTCCACCCACCTGCTCACAATTACTTTGTTTTACAGGCAAAATTAAATTATCAGGGTTACAACAGCTGGCTCGGTTTGATGCTCTTTTGTTATTGTTGTTTTTGTCACACCAGTGTATAAAAACGATGTGCCCTTTTCCCTCCCGGCCCCGGGTTTTCTGGAGGAGCCGTAATAATTTCCATCTGTGCTTCGCTGTAACTCAATCGGCCGAGGGAGGGGGGGGAGAAGCTTGCAAAATGAACCCGGGCTCAGATCTCGTGGCCCCCGTGCTCACAAACCTATTTTAAATATTTAGGCTGTCTTGTTAAGTGGAACACAATCGCAAATGAACTAAAGTCTTGGCAGCGCAAGAGGGGGAACTCGCCCGCTGGCTGTCTCCCCAAGGGAGAGAGGATCTTGTTTTTCTTCATGTAGCCATGGGACAGATGACATCTTTTTCATGTGTGCTTCTTGCCCTCGAAGTCAAGAAGGCTCGACTTTATTGACTGCCCTGGGGCAGAAGGCCAACTTCTGGTATCATGACTTGACTTCAACAGTCTCAAGGCATCGTCTCATCTGCCAGTCACCGGATCCGACAGCATACCTGCTTCCTCTTGTGACTGAATGGGGGCACTGAAGTCTGAGCATACAGAATCTCCGGTAGCACCTGAGATCAAGCATAGTGTGGGGATGGATGCTGACAGGCTCATAGCTACAGTGGGACATCTTACCGCGGAGGACATTGGGCAAAGCCGGGGGTCAAATGCAGCCCCGCAGCTTCGGGTGTGAAATTGACCAATAGTGTCGGGGCAAACGGCGGCGCAACCACGAGGCAGCTCTAGTGCAAAATCAGTCATAGTGTTGGAAGGGGCCCTACAGACCATCAGACCAATGCAGGACCAGCCTAAAGCATCCCTGACAAATATTCGTCCAGCGTCTTCTTGAAAGCTGTCAGTGAAGGGGAGCTCACCACCTCCCCAGGCAGCTGATTCCACCCTTGGACCACTCCAACCGTGAAAAAGTTTTTCCCAATATCCAGCCGATACTTTGCTGCATGTAATTTAAACCCGTCGCTTCGGGTCCTGTTCTCTGCTGCCAACTGGAACAGCTCCTTGCCCTCCTCCCAATGACAGCCTTTCAAATATTTAAAGAGAGCAATCATGTCCCCCCCAATCTCCTCTTCTCCAAACTAAACATTCCCAATGCCCTCAGCCTTTCCTCGTAGGGCTCAGTCTCCAGACCCCTGATCATCCTCGTCGCTCTCTTCTGCACCCTCTCGATTTTGCCCACATCCTTTTTGAAGTGAGGCCTCCAGAACTGCACGCAGGACTCCAGGTGCAGCCTGACCAAGGGAGTATACAGAGAGGCTATGACCTCCTGCGACTTCGATGCTATGGCCCTTTTAATACAACCTAAGACTGAATTTGCCTTTTTTGCCACTGCTTCACACTGATTACTCATATTTAGTTTACAGTCCACCCTTACCCCAAGATCTCTTTCGCATCCCTCATACAGTATTTGTGCTTGACATTTATGTGGTCCAGATGTAATACTGTGCATTTATCTTTGTTGAATTGCATCCTGTTTGTAACTGCCCACTTCTCCAGAGTATTCAGGTCCTGTTGAATTTTAACTCTATCTTCTTGGGTGTTTGCTATTCCTCCCAATTTGGTATCATCAGCAGATGTAATGAGTAGCCCTTCTACCCCTTCATCTAGATAATTGATAAAAAATATTGAAAAGTACCGGGCCCAAAACCAAGCCCTGCGGCACCCCACTGGACACCTCCCTCCAATCTGATGAAACGCCATGGACCACCACTCTTTGGATGCGGTCCTCTAACCAGTTCCCTATCCATCAAACTGTCCTATAGTCCAGTCCACAGTCTTCCAGTTTGCCCATCAGAATGTCATGGGGTACCTTATCAAAAAGCTTTACTGAAATCCTGGTAATCGCATCAACAGAGTTCCCATGATCCAGTAAGCTTGTCACACAATCAAAGAAGGAAACCAGGTTGGTCTGACAAGATCTGTTGGGGACATAACTATGCTGACTTCCCCGGATCACTAAGTGGTCCTTCAGATGCTTACATATTGATCCCTTTAAAATCTGCTCTAATATCATCCCAGCAACAGAAGTCAGAGGGACCTGCCTGTAGTTTCCTGACTCATCCTTCTTCCCTTTCTTAAAGACTGGGATGACATTCGCTCTTCTCCAATCTTGTGGCACATCCCCAGTCCTCCAGGAGGCCTTGAAGATGATGGACAGAGGCTCTGCAAGTTCCTTAGACAGTTCTTCAAGCACTCTTGGGTGCACACCATCTGGCCCAGGGGATCTGTATTCATCCAGTGCAGCCAGATGCCTTTCCACAACCTCCCTGTCAATGTCAACTGGACACTCAGGTGTCCTGTCATGTCCTATACCATCTCTAGATGTTCTTCTGGGAGAAAACAGAGTCAAAAAAAGTCATTAAGCCTGTCTGCTTTTTCTCTGTCCTCCACCGGAGTTTCTCCTTCTACTCCCAAAAGCAGTCCAATTTCCTCTTTTATCTTGCATTTGCTTCTCACATACCTGTAGAAGTTTTTCTTATTGTAGCCAGACCCAACTCATACTGAGCTTTGGTTTCCCTGATGGCTGACCTGCAGTAACTCTCATATACTCCTCTTTAGAGGTCTGACCTTCCCTCCATTTCCTGAGCATTTCCTTTTTCTCCCTTAGCTTATTCTGGAGCTCTCAGTTCATCCACATC